TGGATGGCCATCTGTCAGGGGTGCTTTGAATGCAATATTCCTGCTTCTCAGCAGGGGGTTGGACTGGATGGCCCACGAGGCCTCTTGCAACTCTTTGATTCTATGATTCTATGTTATGTAGTAATTACTATATTTATGAATTTAGCACCAAAATTCATAGAATCATAGATTCCTGTTCGTAGAGTCTCTGAAATTCGCACATATGGGTTTTAGTTCTGTGCATGCGCAGCTGTTTGGAACCTTCTAGAACCTTGTAAAAGAAACATTTTGGCGGAGGCCCTGCCCACTCTCCCCAATACTATAAATGCCCCTGGCGGGGACTGCGTCTTAGTTCCTTTTTCTGTGCTCAGCAGTTTTGGAACCTCTCTAGTCTTTTGACTGCTTTGGATCCCTTTTTTGCTTAAACTACTGGACTGTCTCGTTACGACCTTGGGTTGCAAGAGACCTCGTGGGCCATCCAGTCCGACTCCCTGCCAAAAAGCAGGAAAACTGTATTCAAAGCACCCCCGACAGATGGCCATCCAGCCTCTCTTTAAAAGCTTCCAAAGAAGGAGCCTCCACCACACTCCGGGGCAGAGAGTTCCACTGCTGAACAGCTCTCGCAGTCAGGAAGTTCTTCCTAATGTTCAGGTGGAATCTCCTTTCTTGAAGTTTGAAGCCATTGTTCCGTGTACTAGTCTCCAGGGCAGCAGAAAACAAGCTTGCTCCCTCCTTCCTATGACTTCCTCTCATGTATTTATACATGGCTATCATGTCTCCTCTCAGCCTTTTTTTCTTCAGACTAAACATGCCCAGCTCTTTAAGCTGCTCCTCATAGGGATTGTTCTCCACAATGTATTGAAATAGCTGTGGATCTAGGCTGGAGGCGTTGGATAATACAGAACGAAGGTTGGATAAGCAAGACTCTACTGTACTCCTAAATTTACACCTCTGACTTTTAGGCAAATGAAAAGGTAACCGTGCATTCCTTTTGTATTAATGTGTTTCTTCTTTGGGCTAATAGACAAGTGGGACTATCCTTCTGTGTGCTCTCTCACTCTCTCTTGCACTTATCTTAAAAGACTGAACTGCTGACTAGCAAAGGGCCATGTTTAATTAAGCCAAGGGCTGAATTAATTAATGACTCCTCTACTTCTCACAACAGGCTCTCCACCCCTCCCCTCCTCCATGCGGTGAGACATGCTCAGTTCTCATTAGTTTTGACTTCCACAAAGAACTCACATTGATGGTTTCTATTCCACCATAGGCAGCTCGAACCCGTGGCTCCTGAATTGTCAGCAGGTGAGTCCCACTCACTGTGAGGCTGGTGCTACCACTGGGAGGAGGCAGGCAAAATGAAAAAGACGATCAAGGACTAGTCCACAAACACTACTGCATAAAGCATAAAGCAAAGGCATTACCAAGATGTGTTTCTCCCCATTCTTGTAATGACAATGTACAATAAATGTTCCCATGGCAGTGATGATACAATCATACGTAACACCACACTTAGTGTAGCATAAATATGCAAACAAACTTAGTGAGGCAGAAATATAGTCCTATGCAAACAAATCTGAGGACTCATTAGCCCCATTTCTATAAACTATCATCCTTTCACAGGTCATGCCCCCCAGTATTGTATTCATCATGATTTCTGAATGTTCAGATCTGTAGAAGTACCGTATATACTAGAATATAAGCCGACCAAAATAGAAGCCGAAGCACCTAATTTTACCACAAAAAACTGGGAAAACGTTTTCACTCGAGTTTCCTCGAGGGTGGGAAATACAGCAGCAGGCATGTAGCCGGGGGGGGGGGGGGGGGGGATTCAGCCCCCGCGAGAAGGCCTTACTGGTACATTATTTAAACTGTTATGTTTATTCATATCATGATATGATCACCATGCTCAATATATCCCATATCCATGGGGGTATTGGGATAATGATACAAAAGGTTTGCTAGGGTAGACCCTCAGCGCACCCCCCCCCCCCCAAACCAAAATCATGGCTACGGGCCTGTGGCGCTACTGTAATTTTCAAAATAAATAGTACCCATAAAATTATTTGAATTGAGGCATCCGTCATAATAATATAAATATAATAAAAGTAATAAAATAATAGTACCAACAAAAACCATAATGATAAATAATGTTGATAATATAATAATAATACGACTAAAATTAGTGATAATGATAATAATATAAAAATAATACAAGTAATAAAATAGTAATAGTACTAATAACAAAAACAACAATAATAATTCTGATATAATAATAGTAGTTACAATGGTAATAATAATATAATAATAGTATGACTAAAATGAGTGATAATGATAATAATATAAAAATAATAAAAGTAATAAATAATAATAGTACTAGTAACAAAAATAATTAATAATGTTGATAATAGTGTGAGGAGTGACTTGAGAAACTGCAAGTCGCTTCTGGTGTGAGAGAATTGGCCGTCTGCAAGGACGTTGCCCAGGGGCCCGGATGATTTGATGTTTTTATCATCCTTGTGGGAGGCTTCGCTCATGTCCCCGCATGAGGAGCTGGAGCTGATAGAGGGAGCTCATCCGCCTCTCCTCGGATTCAAACCTGCGACCTGTCGGTCTTCAGTCCTGCCGGCACAGGGGTTTAACCCACTGTGCCACCGGGGGTCCATACATTCATAAAAATACAATGATGGGTTTTTCAGGCCTGAAAAGGCTGAAAACTCAGCTTATGTCTAAAGTATCTACGGATTTCAGGTTCTGGAGGCCCGGACGGACAATGAACGGGGATCTGGTTATGAACTGCAGGGTTGCGCAACCTGGGGGCGGGACCCGCGGGGGGGCGACTGGGGGGCAGAGCAGTTTGCCAAAAGTCAGAACACAGTGTTGGGGCGGGGGGCATGGCGGTTTCGTGGTGGGAGGTGGCCAATTCTATGTGGGGGGAAATCAGAATGCTCGTGGTAGATATCCCAGCACTACAGACTCCCAAAGGAAGGCGTTAGGTTCCCTCAACCCGCCGTGGGTACTTTGAGGCGAGGGTAGGTGTGCCAGTTTGGCCAGCCTCACGAGGGGGAGGAGGCTGCAGGCCGCGAAGGGCGGGGACCTAAACTCCAAAGGCGCAAGTAAGCCCACCAAACCCGGCCGACGGGGGGGGGGTCATCGGGACTTCCTGGGGCCAGTTTGTGGGTCAATACGAGCACGGGGGGGGGTGCAGAGCGAGGGGAGGGAGATGAACTGTAATCCCCCTACAATCCCCAAAGGACGAAATGCCTCCCCCTCCCCAACCCCCACCAGATGCAATTGGGTGTAATCAGGGTATTTGGACCAAAGGGGGCCCGGGAATGAGAATCAGCCTGATTCGATCGGACACAAGATGCATAACAAAAGCAAAATGACGGTGTGAGGAGCAAAGAAAGGGGTTATGGTTGGAGGCCCAGCAACATGAGAACTGTATGAAGGGGTCCGGTATTAGGAAGGGGAAAACCATGTGATTACTGAGGAGGCCCGATTAACAGTTACTTCTGGGTGACAGGTTGTGAATAGGTATGCAACCACGTCATTCTATACAAATCTCTGCATAGGCATAGGATCAGCGCACAGAACGCCAGCGGATCTAAGACACATGATCGGTAGAGGCCCCTGCGGCCCTGTTCCTGCAAAGATGGCCGAGCAGCATAGAACACAGTGTAATAATGGAACTTAGGTGCCAGTGGCCCCACGAGCGGCATGCACAGGGAGTGCATCGGGTGGAAAAGATGTCCCGAGGAATAGCTGGAGGGAGAAGGTGAGAATAAGGAACACGATGGGTACTATAATTACTTGAGCGTATTCTATGCAAAATTCTCAGACGGTCAGGCGGGGGGGGGGGGGGGGGGGGGGGGGGGGGGACCAAATCCAAGTGGATCTAAAGCCCTCACTATAACTGTCTTTCAACTGGAGAAAGTTATGTGTGCATCCACATGGGAGCGCAAATATACCCACATATGTATAGCAAAGCAATCTGGGCCTGAACGCCATCCAATGTGCACAACAGATGCTCAGTAAGGAAGCACTACCACGGTCATCCTAGCAATGCAACACAGGGCTGTCACAGGCTCATCACTTACTTGGCAATGCTCCAGGCGGGCTCTATTGCTGTGACAACTGGGTCAGGGCTGTAGCGGAAGGAGATGGTGCCATTGGTGCTGATGTTAGCGCGGTCGATGCGAAGGCTGAGATTGGCAGGGCCCGGGCCTAGCACCGAGGGGGGAGACAGGCAGACAATCTCCCCCGCACTGCGTCTTTGGTGAGTAAGATTGGGAGAGTTAAAATTACCATTGGTTAAAACAAAACAACAAGCTTCTCATGTATTACTGAACTTCAGGATTATGCTTTTGGGAAATCTTAATGTGAATGAAATCTTTCATACACATCCTATTCTCGAGCACTATTCAGTAACCCTCCACCCCACTCCTCTATTTTATTCTACCCACTAGATCTCTGCCCATTTATTTCATTTTCGCTCACTCAAAACAGATGTTCTGGAGGGAAAAAAATTGATTCTGAGATTTGGGAGGCTGTAAAAAAGGGGCTGTGGGTGCACTTTCTTCAATGGGCAGTGTAACACAGACTTTCAGATAATCAGTTCCACAGAGTTTGTCTTTTAAAAATAATATTGACCAGAATAGGAATGGGCAACCTACAGCCCTCTAGAGCCCCCAAAGCGCCGGTGGCACAGTGGGTTAAACCCCTGTGCCGGCAGGACTGAAAACCGACAGGTCGCAGGTTCGAATCCGGGGAGAGCACGGATGAGCTCCCTCTATCAGCTCCAGCTCATCATGCGGGGACATGAGAGAAGCCTCCCAAAAGGATGGTAAAAAAAAATATCAAAAAATATCCGGCTGTCCCCTGGGCAAAGTCCTTGCAGACGGCCAATTCTCTCACACCAGAAGCAACTTGCAGTTTCTCAAATCGCTCCTGATACGACAAAAAAAAGCCCTCTAGATCAGTGGTTCTCAACCTGGGGTCCCCAGATGTTTTTGGCCTCCAACTCCTAGAAATCTTAACAGCTGGTAAACTGGTTGGGATTTCTGGGAGAACCACTGCTCTAGATGTACAAGAGGGCTTCTTAAACTTTTTTCTACAGGAGAAAAATGTACACGTATATAGGCATATAAAATAGGTATAAAAATCAAACATTTACTTTAAATAAATCAGTTTCTTCAAGGCTTGCCAAACAGGCTGATTTTGCTTTTTATGAAGTACAGCTGAAGCATCTTCTACAGCAGTGTTTTAGCATTATTGCTAATAGGTTCAGAAAGCTTTACTGTTGCCAATTTTTTCGTGACCCTAGTTTTCTCTTTGTTGTTGTTGTTCATTCGTTCAGTCGTTTCCGACTCTTTGTGACCTCATGGACCCGCCCACACCAGATCTCCCTGTCGGC